AAATAATGATCTTTAAAATAGCATCATATGACCCCTTTAAATTCATTGTGGTCATCAGATTTTCTCAATCAATGATATGGCGCTTTGTTAAATTAAAAAAATACATAAAAAATGCAATTCACATGTACAATTCAGATGTACAAATCATGTTTTTAATTACTTTTTTTTGTGAATTATTAATTCACGAGACTCATTCAGTTTTTTTTTTTAATTTGTTAATATTTTGAGTTAGCTTTTTTATATTTTCAGTTTTCATTTTAAATATAGTTTAAGTATTAGTAATTTTATCATTTTTATTATTGTTTAATACTTCTGTTTAGCTTTGATTTATTTTTTTTATTTAAGTTTTAATTTGAGTAATTTGAGTACTTCAGCTTAAAGTGATTTTTAAGTTAGTTGCCAAAGCAACATTTCTAATTTTTACTTTTAGTATATATATCAGCTTTATTTCAATGACTGAAAATGTTTTAGAAATAGTATTAGTTTTAGTTAACAGTATCAACACTGCATGTTGCTGACTCACCCCAAGGCTGTGGCTGAATCCAGTGCTGGGAGCGGGACTTGCAGCGCTGATATAGCTACTGATGGAGTCCTGATTGGCCGTTCCATACAGGTCTGCCATCGGCCCAGGGCTGCTGGTACCTAAAAACCCAGCTGAGCGAGAAGGAGTTGAGCCTAAAGAAATCAACATGAAATTCCACAATGTCTTAACCACTTTTCATTAACAGGGAATCTTAAAGCTATAAAGGCCAGCCATTGGGGTGTGAGCTCTCATTTGCTGAGCATGGGTTGTGTGTGGGATGTAGAAAAAACAAAATTCTCGCACCTCTGACCACAGCTGCTGCTGCTGCGGCTGCCGCCGCCATGGGGTTGTACGCCGTTAGAGGAATGGCTATGAAAACATCCGCATACACGCAGAACAAGCAAATAAACAGGAAAGAGAACTTAATCAGTACCAAGCAGTACGAAAGCAGTGGGAAAATCATACTGAGTAAGAAATGATGCTCTGATAATGTGTGGTAATGCCTGTAATCTGTTATGCAGGATTTCCTGGGTGGTGTTGTCACAAAGTAAGCTGATAGTATTCAGATCACACTATGCTGTGTACTGGAATATGGCAAGCGGCTGCTGTGTACAATAGCTGCTTGTAAAGCTCATAGAGGAACTAACCTGTGAGCTCAGCGGGGTGGGGTGATGTCAGAAGGGGGGTCCTCTCTAAGTGGAATTCTAGAATAGAGATAAACACAGAAAGCTGTTTAAACATACACACAAGAGCTGTTCACACTACACACATGGACAAGCACTACAGGGCCTATGAGTGGCAAGACACA